GTGAGTGAGTGAGTGAGTGTGTGTGTGTGTGTGTGTGTGAGTGAGTGAGTGAGTGTGTGTGTGTGTTTTCTGATAAATCAGGCTTTTACGGCTCATATAGTCTGATACACTGAGAATATGGAGGAAAAACAGCTCAATTTTATTCACAAACTGAGCTAAAAATATGAATTTGCTGCAGATGCTGATTTTTTATGATGAGATTCTGCGGCTTGTAATGTAAATCAGTGAGATCTTTCTAACAGTAGAGCAGATACTGAAAATGATCTAAATATCAGTCGTGGCTCTATATCTGCAGTAATCTGTCTCAGTGAGATGAGAGTGAAATGCTCCAAGCATATAATGCAGTGATTGAGAGCTGAAGAAATAAAGGCTCCTCAGAAGATGTGAGATGTTCTGGAGGCTTGTGAAAATCATTCCTCCGCTGAGGAACAGTGAAAGTAAAGCTTCTGGAAACAAACGCTCATCAAAAGATCAGATTTGATGAAAAATGATTTATGGATAATCAAGTAAACCTAAGTTGCTGCAGTCCAGAAAGTGTTCGTCTTGAAATATTACTAACAATATAAAAGTTAAATCAGTAAAGATTCACAGCAGAAAGGTGGACGTTTTTACAATTATACTAAAACTATCAATCAGATGACATGTAGTAGATTGTGTACAACAGGTTTTGATCATGTTGATCATTTAGAGACCTTAGAAATGTGCATTTCAAATATGATACAGTAGACTATATAGGGTTCAAAAGTAACACTTTTTGGAATCTGAAGAACGGATGATTGTACAGATAAGCTTCACTGACTGATTAGTTTTACGATCATTCTTATTGACAGTTAAACTCTGTTCGTGATGTTCGTGAGATGATCTTCTTGGGCGCTTGCGCATGATGTGGTGGCATAAAAGTGCTTTCCGTCGGGCCAATGGTTGACATCTCTGTACGTACCAATTTAGTGCCTCAAATGTGGTCAGCAGAGCAGGTTCCAGAGGCCATTCGAACTCAAATTACAGACAGTTTTTGGTTTCCATGAATCAGAAGAATCAAGTAAAGCTGAGCTGCTTCAGTCCAGTAAGTGTTCATCTGGAGATATTACTGCAGTTATTCTGACCTTTACTTGATCAAAACCAGTCAAGATCTGACTACAGTTACACTAAAAGAGCTCTGACTGGATAAACAACTCTTATTGAGATTGTTTAGCTCCTGTTGATCATGCGGAGGTGTTCTGTGTGTTCTGCAGGTCTAAGGACAGCATGTATCACGCTCTGGGCTACAGCAGTATTCTGGTCATGCAGGCCACCATGACCTTCGAGCACAAAGACATCCAGGCCGGGATGGCGACCATCAAAGAGGCCTTACAGACCTGCCAGAGGTGCGGCTTGATCACGACGTCCAGTATGAGACGCTTCGGACGCGTTCTGCTTCTGATCTGTGTCCCGTCTGTCTGCAGGTTCAGGAAACGAAACTCGGTGGTGGGGTCCATCTCCAGCCTGATGTCCAAACAGTCGCCAGACAGCCTGAAAGCAGGTGAGCCGTCTGAGACGCTGAGTGTGTGCTGGGAAACACGTCTGAATTAGGGCTGTGCAGTATTGACAAAAAATAATATCTCGCTTTTTTCTGGGATTTTATCGATAACGATAATTGCTGAATGTGTTATTGTGCTGGTATCTTAAGGACTGCCGTGGACAGCTGACTCCTAAAGTTTTTAATATTCTTTATATTCTGTGCTGTGGTCAGTTCACACTGATAGAAATTAATCTTTTCCAATAAGTTTAAATCGATTTTTACCTTTTATGGGCATTTTTACCTTTATAAAGCCATTTTTAGAAAAGTGTGCATCATCTTTTGAATTAAATTCTTACATTTAATCAGTGGCATTTAATCAAGGTATTTGGATTCCATTTTTGTTGCTTGTCTTGTGAATCCAAATAAAATAATAAAATGTGTGTGTGCGTGTGCGTGCATGCGTGCGTTTGTGTGTGTGTGTGTGTGTGTGTGTGTGTGTGTAGACGAGATGCATGCGGAGATCTGCTACGCTGAGTGTTTGCTGCAGAAAGCCACGCTGACATTCGTGCAGGTCAGTGAACCCTAATTGTTTTTATTAATCAGCATTAAATAAGGTAAAATATAAGAGAAATATACAAAGACACAATCTCATTCATCACCATTTTCTGTATTTCAGGATGAAAACATGATCAGTTTTATTAAAGGAGGAATCAAAATACGCACAAGTTATCAAATCTACAAGTGAGTCTGAAATCAAGAATTCCCTCCTGTTGCCTGTATCAAAAATATTATATAATCTGTTATATTTAAAAAATATTGTGTTTGTAATGTTATTGCATATAAGCAACAATTCAAAAATATACATTAAAATATTTTTTATATATTTTTTATTTTAAAAAATCAGTTCAGTACAAAGAGACACAATATAGATTAGAACATGCAATGCAATATAACCCCTCCACCCCCAATATTAATTTTCATTTATATCCACATGCAGAGAATTAGTATTAGTAATGATTTATTATATTATTTATATTAATAATAATTATTATGTTATATTGCATATTGCACATATATGTACTAGGGGTGGGAGAAAAAATCGATTCACCTAACTATCACGATTCTTTTAAAAACTCAGAATTGATTTATATTTAATTATTTTACTTTTCCTAAGAGGTGGTCGGGAGAAGTTGGCGCTTTTATTCCAACAGAGGGCGAAATGTATAGGTGTGTTCGACTTGAAGCAGCCGCGCACAGACCAATCGGCGTATGACATCAAAGTACCGCGAGAGCGATTCGAAAGCATGCGAAGCCATCTGCTCTCTGTAGCTCTCGCGGTGCTTTGTCATACAACGAGCGGTCTGCATGCGCAGTGCTGCTGAATTAGATGACGGCGTATTCGTTTCAAGCCGCCGCGAGAAAGCAAAACCATGACAGAGGCAGAGGATCAAACCTCTTTGAGAATTATTTCTGCACCTTCACGTTTTGAATCCCAAGTGTGGAAACACTTTGGATTTTACACACTGCTGGGAAAACATGACTAAAACCGTATGCAAAGTGACATAGAACTTTATTTTATTTCAGAAAGTATTTTTTTCCTACTCATTTTGTTGAACTTTTGATATATTATATTCATGTGCAAGTTCAGTGTTTTGGTACTTGAAAGTTTCATGGTTCAAGGTGTTAGATTTTCCTGTATTTGGCTGAGCAATAGTTTGGGTGGCTCATAGGGCTGTGACGGTCGCCGTGACAACCGCGTCACCGCGGTGGTCGCTTGCCACCGGCGGTAGTGCACGTGACGTCATGCACTCTATAACAAGCATAATACGAAGTTTTGTATACAAGTGTAATAACAGTAATAACAGTAGCGGAACAGTGA